GCACTGCAGGGTCAGCAATGACTGAGCGCAGACAAAAACAAAAACTGGTTAATAGCAATTATAACATCTGTTGCTCTTGTGAATTTATACCGAGTTGGAATTCCTTCCTTATCCCAACCAGAACTCTATAATTGTTTGGGTTTTCATTAGTCATGATGCTTTGGCAATAAGGTGACGCCCTTTGCCCCGTATCAGGCTGGAGACCACAGGATATTAAGGAATCAACCTTTACAAATATCTGAATCCACTTCCATGGCACACCAAGTGAAAGACATGGGGCTTTTCAGCATTCAGATAGGCATTCATTGCAGGTCACAAGTTAACCAACCCCATGTGAAGCCAATATCTTGCTCCTCCAGTTCTCGTTGCAAACATCTCCATCTTAACTGGGTTAACCATACAACAGTAAATAATTCCACAATCACTGCTCCATCGTCAGCCCTGAGCACCATGGAATATCAACAAGGAGCTACATTTTATCTGGCAATGGTGGTTGTCATTGTTTAATGGCACGTCCTTCTGGTCTGCATTAACCTTAGACATTCAAGTAACCCCCCCGTGTCAGAAGAGTCACACAACTCCATTACAGCCTGTTGAACTCATTCAGTCTTGTTGATTTATCAGATGGAAGATTGTTAAGTTCTCAAGCGTGGCAAGACTGAATTGCTCCTGTGCATTTGAAAGCCCATAAAAGGGTTTTATGTTTAATATCATTACAGTAGACTGACCCTTTGCTCTGTTTCTCCCTGTTCTGTTGAGTTATCATTCATTACCTGTGACTCTGTGGTCCATTAACTACCTGGATATCTTTCTTTGCCACTTGTTTTTTAAACTCTCCACTCTGTAAAATTGAATTAAGCTTCTGAGAAGAAAAAGAAAAAAAAAAGAGCCATTTTCAGGTTTTGAGGAAGGAAAGATCCCTGGAAAATTTAAGAGAAATGTACGTGTGTGTATTTAAAATTCTCTATAAGTTGTATGTCTGTGTTATCTTTAAGTCATTCTCAACTCCTGGCGACTGCCTGGACAGTCCCTGCAGTTTTCTTGGCAGCATTTTCAAACGTGGTTTGCCATTGCCTCCTTCCTAGGGCTGAGAGAGTGATTGGCCCCAAGTCACCCAGCTGGCTTCATGCCTAAGGCAGAACTAGAACTCAACTCCAGTCCAATGCCTTTAACCACTACACCAAACTAACTTTTACAGATATTGATGCCTTCAAGTCAGTCTTGACTTCTGGCAACTGCCAGGACAAGTCCTTCCAGTTTAGCAAACTCTCTCTAGAATTATAGCCATAGTTACAAGAGTGATTGGCCCCAAGTCACCCAGCTGGCTTCATGCCTAAGGCAGAACTAGAACACAACTCCAGTCCAATGCCTTTAACCACTACACCAAACTAACTTTTACAGATATTGATGCCTTCAAGTCAGTCTTGACTTCTGGCAACTGCCAGGACAAGTCCTTCCAGTTTAGCAAACTCTCTCTAGAATTATAGCCATAGTTACATATCAGTTTCACTGTCATTCCATTACTTCTTACCCAAAGTATCATAGGAAATGTAGTTTGGACTCCTGATGTGATATGACAGTCTTTCCCAATCCAATGCCTTCCAGACATATTATAGTTCCATTCTCATGGTGCCCAGCTGATGTGGCTTTGGCCCGCTGGACTGAAATCATGGAAGTTTGTTCTGCTAGGAGAACCCAAATCCTGTTCTCCTGCATGGAGGCCTTTGAACAAGGGGAATAGGTCAACATGGAGCACCATGAGTGGAAGCATTGCTACAGCAACAATGTGGTTCCAAATGAGCATCTTGATAACTCAGAATTCAATTCTACCTTTTCCTACCTTCATACCAAGGAGTCAGAAACATCCCCCATGCTGGCAGCCATGTTGGCATCCCTGATCCAGTCTTTCTCCCTCCCCTGGAAAGGGTGCTCAGTAGGTCAGAGGTAGAGTTGAGGCTACTCAGGGAAGTTGGATCTCACCAATGCTATAACTGCCAGTGGGACATCTTCAAGGTAGTGGTCAAGGATGGGCTTCTGTCTCATCCCTCCTTCTATCTCAAGGAAGAAGGACTCCAAGAATTCATCATCTACAAAGATGATAGAGGACATCTGGTTGGAACAAGGGTGCTCTTTACAATGATCTCCCACTTATTTCTCAGAATTTTTCAGAATGTCAGACATCAGTTGATGTTTTATATTCTATTGCTGAAGTTCTAGATTGATGCTTTATATTACAGTTTGATCTATGACATTAAATAAATAAACTTTGAATCTTTGAATGTCAGATGACAGCTGACATCTTCTATCTTCCTTATCTGATACCTTATCATTTTATTAAGTGAACACTTAGAAAGTTCCTTTTGAATTCACATAACCCAACATTCACCCCATGGGTACTACATGACTCAGGACTGAGTTGTCCCAGAGCCTGCCTATCTCTGTACTTTCCTAAGACTTCTGTTGGGACACTTTAGGTCTATGACTGATGTAGTTTACAGTGTTAGCACAAAGAACTCCAGAAAACATTTGTTCAATCCTTATCTACTTCATCTTCTATATTAGATGCTGTGCAGCACTTCAGATCTGATCTCCAAAGGGTCGGGGTACATGGAAACACAACATGGCTACTACAGTGTGTTGCAGACAAGTGATGTGTTCACCCTGCTGTACACTCTGAAAGTCCTTTTGGAGACCAAAACTATGCTCTTTATTCTAAAATGATGCATCTAAAAGGGCTTATATGAAGCCCAAATTACTAGACCACAAGCAAATCATTTCTCTTTCAACAGGCCAACTGTACAGAGACCTCTGCCTTTTCTGCAAAACCACTTCAAAATTCCTGCACAGAAGTTCAGCAACAAAATTGCTGTCTTATGCAGACATGACTTTAGTGCATGTCCTAACAAAATCAACATTTTTGAGAATTTGACAATGGAGAAGCCTCAAACCAATGTCACAGCACTGGAATGTGGTCTAATGTGGTGACAAAGCCCCAAACTCATGAACAGTCAGATTCAGAAACTGAAAGGTGAGCAGAACAAATTGCTCCCAATGAGCCATCAGGCTAAGATATTATACTAAATAGAGAAAACAGCACAGTCACTGGTTTGTATGTTCTTCTCAATGCTTGAGCACCAAGCTTCAAAGATTCTGCATTTTCCAAGAAGCTGATCTTTCCAGCAGGATACCATGCAATTTCCAAGGCAAGGTTGCAGAAAGAGCCAGGAGCTATGTGATCAAAGAACTGGAAACAAAATGAGAGCAGCCTTATCCAGACTGTTTCTTTTTTGCCCGTTGGGTTGAACCAACAATTCTCAGAATTAGAAATCAGCTGAGGATCATCATCATGATCATGACTGATTTATATAATTTATATCTCATTGCCATCAACCAGGGACTGCCATCTGTGGCTAAATAAAGACTGTCTGATATCAGACTCAATTACATGGACCCCTCCATATTATTTTCACAGTCACGATGGTTTATCACTGCCTTCTTCTGCTTCCTCAGTCTAACCTACAGCCTCAGGATTCCCACATGATCTCCCATGCAACCATGCTTCCTGCTTAGCTTTCTAGCTCAGCCAAGGTCAACCTGCACAAAGGTTGAGGGAGTATATTTAATCCCAATCAGTAAAGGGGAGGTGTTTGGTAATATGGGGAGGAATTGGGGGGGGGGCGCTAGTTTTCCTGGCAGATCAATGGTTGAGTCATGCAGGAGTTTGATTCTGTGCCACTCTCTTTCCACACACAACATTAGCACAGAAGCATTCCCACTGCAGACTTTAAGGCTCTCCATTCTATAAATGGCCTTGACATTTTTCATTGACTAATCAATTCAAAAAGGCAGACAGAAAGGGGGTGAAGAATAATTAGGGATAATTCACATTTGTTTTAATGCTTCTAAGGTGCTTTTCAACTGATCTTTCAGAATGCAGGTTTGCCATGGACCACATCCCCAAAAAAGAAATTGTGGAAAAGAAGGTCAATCAGTAGGAGGGAAAACTGTTGAAGTTAATTAACAGCTCTAGAAGAGGGAAAGTGGACTGTATCTTCCCTTTCAGGAAAACCTATTTTTAGGTCTATAAGAAAAGTTCAAACTCCTAGAAAAGAATCTGTCGCCCCTCTTATTACTAAAAATTTCCATTTGTGTGGAGGGAGCTAGAAGAAAGTAGACATGGGATTAGGGGATTAACAGAGCAAAGGAAACTAGAAACTGATGATGATGAAGATGGTGATGATGATCGTGATGATGATGAGTTTAGGAGACAATAACTCAATTTCCCAAAGAAGCATCTTGTCTTAAGCTGGGATAGTTACATTTGGAGAGAAGTTTGAAACTGGAGAATCAACTTTATAAAATACAAATGCATAAGGACTAACTTCAGAGCAGAAAATGTCAAAAAAAAAAAAAAAAGAGTTCTGATCCAGCCCACTCCTTGATATTTCCAACCTCAAGGCGGGCTTTCAGTGAAAAAGATCACTTGAAGAATATTCTATAGTGAGAAGGCTAAGTGCTGTCCATCAGGTGTCTCCAAAGGGTTTTTACTCTGCAGAGAATTACTTATTCTCAGGATGCTGAGAATTTGTTTCAACTTTTTCAGAGTGGTGGTTTTGAGATGATGCACTTGCCATCTCACGCAAGCCTTTCTGGCATCTCACACTTCCCAACCTGAAAAGGAGGATCTCCTTCTTGATCTTTTCCCTGGGGATTCAGCAGAGAGTAGAAACTACAAGGCTGCAGACCACGGGAGGGAACGCTGGGCAGGGACGGACAAGACATTCAGAGAAAACCCACAGTCACCTTCCTTTAAAACGTGGAAGAAGAACACACACCATGCATGAGAACTTTACCCAAATTCTCTCCTCTTGCCAAATTTTCTTTGGCACCAAACTGAATGACAGGAGAAAATAATGCAGGGATTTTTTTATTGCATGTTACTAAGGCACACTAAAAACAAGTTTATTTTTTTTGGCATGAGTAGGTTTTACGAACAGCAGCAGTTGGGGAAATCGTATCTCATCCTACTTTAGCAGCACCAGCCCAGCAGATTAGTCCTTGTTATATTCACACCAGGATGTTCTTAACTGTCACTCTTTCGTAAGAGTGCTTCCAGGCACTCTTACTAAAGACATCAGGTTGGTCTCAAATCATCCGAGGTTCCAAAAAGTCTGTTTAAGAAGGGAAATAAATAACAGTTCACTCCACACTCAAATTGCTTCATTTGTAAATCAGATCCCATCCACCAGCACAGTTCAAAGAGCAGAGCAAGGCTATTTGATATCTCCTGACATCAGGGGACTCGTTGCACAATCATTTCTGGGATGACAAAATTGCAAGTGGTTTATTTCCAATTCTACATTTGTTGGAAGGGAGTCCAGGAAGATGAGAGAGAGAGACATGTTCCAGATTGAGATGGGCCCTATTTTATTGACAGCTGAAGAGTTGGGATTCAGGGTCTTCCAGGACCAATGGTTAGGGCATCATTTTGTCTGTCCACTGAAAGAAACCTATTTCATTTCTCACCTCTGCATGAAACAAGCCTGATAGGGGCTTATCAGGTTCTAAAATTGTCTCCACATTTGAGGTTCATTTCTAACTCTCTCTCGCTCTTTCTCTCTGCATGACTTTCTGTGTAACTTTGCATGTCCACACAGAAACAAACTAGCTCTAGAAATCTGAGGTCACTTCTTGGACCAACACCCTACCTTTCCCTTTGAAGAAGAAACATGGGTTGCAGGAAAAACCAAGACAATCCTTTTAATAGCCTAACTCAGTTCTGCAACAATGTAAACAGACTGGGTTGTTAGTCACAGAGACACTGATGGTAGCCACTGCCCAGCAAGTCATAAATAAGTCCAATTCTTCCCTAAGAGTTGCAGAGGGCCAAACAGTAGAAATGTTTGGATTCAAGTTAAAAGGTGAGGTTCCCATAAGCCATCTGAATACAATGGTTAGATTTCAGGGGAAAGTTGGTAGCAGACTTTGAGTTTGGTCCAATGGTTCAGGATTTTAAAAGCAGGCATGATACAAGTTGTGCAGAACTGAGTTCTTACAGAAGTTGTTACAGCCTTAAATCCCACTCAACAAGGCCCATCAACACACCAAATTCCTTCACTTTCCTTCTTGGTACATCTAAAGACTTCAGCCCTGATTTCAAGAGGTCTGTCAGCCCTTAGAGGCAGTCCAGACAAGAAGCTCCAACCATAAGTACTAACACCACCTTCATTGCAAGATTACAGTAACAGAATCTTGCTAGTCTGAAAGCACATTTCTCTACCCTCACCTTTAGAGTCCAAGAAATTAGGGATGGTCCCTTCTGAGACACTGGTCATGCCCCCATTCCTTCTGCTGCATCTTATCTGACCATTGCCTAGACTGCTGCTCTCTTCCTGACTCTCAAGGATATTCTCACAGGCCATTACAGGGTCAGACTCTGCAAATCCTGTTTTAGTCTTGAGCCTTTGTTGCAAGTGGTCCTTGCAATCTTTGGGGTTTCTACCTCCCCATGGCTCAGGTGCTTTGACTCCAGTTCCAAGTCAGAATCTTCTATAGCAGGACATGGAGCAGCAAGACCTTAACTTATATCTCCACCATGATTTGAATTTGGTTCCTTGGCTTTTCTTCTGACTGGTTCTTCAGCTTGCTCCTCTTCAGATGATGGGTCCAGCTTGGCCATGGCATATCCTGCTTGTGGTCTTACAGGAATTCCGCAAGATTGAATCCACTTCTCCTTTGCTCTGTGTTGCTCATTTAAGGAGAAAGGCAGGAGTCAAGTTCATACCACACCCAGCTACAGCTGCACAGTGTATATAAAGTCAGATCTGTTGCTAGGTAACAAATCCCTACCCAAATGAGTCTCCCATAGATTACCCTATGTAAAGATGTGCTCCATCACTTCTCCTCTCCCTCTCACCAAACCCTCCCTAGCAAAGATGCAGAGAGCCAGTTGGTCACCTAGGGTGTTGACAGTGTTATGCACGAGCTGAGATCTTTCTCATTGTTTCCCTATGATACCATTTTTTCTAGGCTACAAAATAGCTCTTCATCCTGCCATACTAGTTTTCTTTTTATGGAAGACCA